TCTTTCCCTTGGGTAGACTTTGTTTAAGTGCATTTCTTGAAGTCCTACTCACCAATTCATGGTATATGGAGAACACCTGATTTCTTAATGCACTTTGGAAAGGGTGAGTTTGTGATGTGGCACATGAGGTGTGCAGAAAGGTATGTATTTGTCAGACATGTCGATTTAGGCTGCTTTTAGGTGCCTAGCAACATGATGCTTAGGCACTTAAGTTGCTGGACCTGTGGAGCTAAGTGGATTTATTCCAGCTGAGGATCTGGCTTGTTAAATCACTTTGTCCTTTTGTTTTTTAATGTGAGATCAATGAATGTTTCACCCCTTAGTTAAATATGAAGGTGGCACATGCTATTCTTGTATGGATTTTTTTTTTTTTTAAATGTTCGCCGATTTGCTTTTCAGCACTGTAGTAGCCAAGTCAGCACTCTTGATTTATAACCCTTCCAGAGGTTTGAAAAAAGATGCCAGAGGAAAGATTGCTGCAGAGCCTCAGGGACCTGGGGCTGATTGCCTGCCACTCTGTCAGTGATTTATACCCGAATTCCAGCCCGTTCCTGTCTCTGTGCTTATGGAGGCAGACGCTAGTTTGACGCACAAAGCGTGAACAAAACAAGTCCTTGTGCAAGATGTTACAGCAGCTGCCGATAAGGTCAGAAGGGCCTTGTAGGGCTGAAACATTTGCAGTACTTCAGAGTGGGTTGGGATTTCCCTCCCACCCTCCTCAATCCCAGAAATTTAATTTGACGTTACGTTTGGGGTGCTGGGATAGCAATGCAGTGATGTTACATCAGAACTTAACTTGGTTTAAAAAGAAGAAAAAGCCCTACTAATGTGTGGAAGTTTAATTATATTTTACCTGTAATCTTCCTAGTTGTGGAAATGCTTGAAGCCCAATTCACCACTGAAAGCTCGGATTTCGAAGCAGTGGTGTGAAATTGGTTTCCAAGGTGACGATCCTAAAACAGACTTTAGAGGGATGGGTCTCCTGGGCTTATATAACTTGGTGTAAGTATGTCTCTCTGTAGATGGTGTATGTGTGTCTGAAGTCATGAAAAGCAGCACTACTTGCAGATTTTTAGCAAGTCTCTGGGAATAGCTTATAAAAGTGTTAGGGACTTCATATTAAAAACTGAAAGAATTTATATGCTAGCGCAAATTTTTGGGGGTCTCCCTTCTCAAAGGGGTCTCCTTTCAGTATTCCTAATTCAACTCAGTAATACTGCTTGCTAAGCCCCTTTTTTTTTTTAGTTTTGCTGTGACACAGTAAGTTAGCACTCTCTTCCCACAAGAAAGAAACTGTAAAGTATATTTTCACCAATATCTAGATCTCCTTAAACAAAATACCCCGGAACTGGGTAGGTAGGAGAGTTATGTTACTGCTCAGCTTTCTTGCTTGGGAATTGCATGCTGTATTCTTGAGCAAAACACTTGAAACGCAGCCACTGATGGCAGACTTCTGTAGTTGCACTACTTATTCAATTTCTGCCAATACCCAAAATTAAACAGTGAGTTTACATCACTGTTCCCTTCAGCCTCATGCACACCAGGTGTTGGTACCGTATCTGTGGTTGGTAATTTGGGAATCGATCGATGCCAGTTATTTCCTCCAGCCCTTCTATCTGCTGCAGGTTGTTATATAACTTAGAAACATTTGTTAAAATAACCTCTCCCCGTGAGAGGAAAAAGAAATATTTTCTGCTTTTACAGATTGAAGGACATAAATCATTCACTCTCTGTATGTCATTCTCTAGCTAAAGCTCAGCTGAGGATCTGGTCTCTTCACTCTGGCTTTGAACTTCCATTGGAGATGAATCCCTACCATGTAGTTCATTTCTTAGCCTCCTATGATAACTCTTATCTTGCTTAAAGAATCTGCCAGATCAAGAAGCCTGAACTGCTTTCTCTTGAGCTCGGCAGCCAACATTCTCTAGTAATTAGCAACTGATTTTGTGTAGGGCGGGTAGAAAGGGGACTCTGGTAATGCACATTCACTAACCGCTTATAGGATTGCACTTGTAATTTCAGGCTGCTTTTATCTTTCATTTTGGGGATGTGAGTGGTAGCTTAATGAATTTAACAAGTTAAATGCTACTCATACCGTGGCAGGGGGGTTGGAACTAGATGATCTTTAAGGTCCTTTCCAACCCAAACCATTCTATGATTTGAGCAACACAGGTAGTGACCTTTAAAAGGGGGTGTGTGGACAGCTCAGTATGACTTGAGATGCCTTTTTTTGTTGTGTTTCTTTAACAATTCACCCTAAACATATATATATCTGCAGGTATTTTTCTGAATGGGACACTGAGATAGCTCAGCAAGTTCTCTCTGATTCTCTTCAGCCTAAATACAGGTAATGCTTGACATCAGAAAAAATAACTTGAGAGCGCACTGTGCTGGCTGGTGTTTTGGGGAGGGGGTTGGCTTTTTTCTTTTTCTTGGGCATATGCTTGGGTATTGCCACATTCTATCTGCTTTCAAGTGCTGATCCTGAAAACTGATCAATCCCAAGATACAAACTTGTATACTGAATTATAGAAATAGTTAAACTTAGTGTTAAATGTTTTCACTTATTTCGCTAATTTCAAGTGATTTTGTATTTTTATTTACCTTTCTTTTTGTCTTTTCATAATGAAGGGAAGTCACTAAGAAGGAACTAAGGTATTTTTTTTCTTTTCTCTTAGTTTCATGAGACCCTACATGTAAATAAAGATCAAACCATACTGCAATTTGGCATGTTATAAACTGAAAGTCTTTGTTGCAACACCAAGAGATCCATATTCCTTTCTCTAAAGTTAACTCAAATGTAGCTGATGGTGCAGCGCTGGGTACATCTGAGCATGCTGACATATAACGAACCTTGCTTGATGTAGCTGAAGCACTGTATTTTAGACCTATTGAGTACCAGGCTTAACTAACAAATTTTGGGTGACTTTTAGCTGTAGGAAAAAAGTCTGAGCAATGCCACTATGGTCACAAAAGCTGTGACTGACTTGATAATCAAAAGTAACCTAGGCCAAGTGTTTGTTAGCACACTTGAAGAGCCCTTAGATTTTTAATCACGTAGTCTGGCTGCCTTGACTAATGATGGGTCTAATCTGGCTAGTCCAATGTCCTGAGTGTTGAGAGATCAGATACATTCAAGTGGCAAAAATCCTGTGCTGTGAATGATTTGTGAATAGGAGATTTATTCCATAATTACTGAAGGGGACAGAAATGCCTCATAGCCAGTTACATGGTAATCAGTTGCCTCAAAAGACATTTTTCTTTTGCCAGTAGTGGTAGATATCCATATAGCAGGCCTACATCTGAATCCTGTGAAGCTTTTGATCTCCTCAGTATTTCGTCACTGAGTTCCCAATGGTAATTCTGTGACAAAAAACTCTTGCAGGGTTGAGGGGGATGTAAACCAACAGACCAATTTGAGCCTGATAGCCCTCAAATTTAATTTATGTGGGGGTTCTTTTATATATTAGCATTCACTCTCTTCCTACAAGCATCCCCCACAATTCCAGTCTGGCCTTTATGTATTGTGTTGCCCATGGAAGACTTTTATAATGTATGCTGATGAGCAGGGATCATCATGATACTTAAGCATCGTTATAGAAAATATCCAAAATTTTTGTTTAACTGAATTCTTACATGGGAAACCAAACTATACTACCCAGATGCTGAGTATTCAGCGCCGGGGCAGCAAAGCAGGGAATCACATTAGTGTTCTTCATTTACATGTTTGATTACCAAGGACTGTCTTGGAGTGCTGTGTGAGCATGTGCAATTTCTGTCCTTTGAAAGAGCATTTGGATAGATGCTGGTGGTGGTGCCCGCGGTGTTCTTCCTGGTGTGGTTGCTTAGCAGCCGTGCTGGTTTGTGATGTGGTCATGATCGACATGGTTTCTATTTGTGTTGAACTGTATTGCTTGTCCACATCCTACAAGTGCCACCTTTATTATTCAAAGTTTGCTTGGGGTTTTTTAACTGATGTTACAAAGCTGCAAAGATGGCTAAGACTGTAGACAATGAGTATATTCCTGTACACCAAACCATTTAAGAGGAGAAGTTTTGTCCTCCTACATGCCACCTGGTAACGATTGTGTCAGGATGGGTACGAACCTATTAGCATCTTTAATACTTAATGGAAAAAAAATTTTAAATACTATATTTATTTGAAGTTCCAGGGATTGTCTTTAGTGTAATATATACTTATCGTAGTTCAGGTATAGTCCAAGAAAGACACTTTCATGCATAGCTGTCTATAATTTGGGATCTAAACCATGCAAGCTCTGATTTACTTTACTAAGGCAAAATTCCCATAGGCATGTCTAAGTTGTAGCCCACTGGTTAGGGTTGCTTCCCTGCCTGCTTTTAGCTGCTGCTAAGTGCCAGCAGTGATTTCTGCTAACCTTGCTCCATTCCAGTAGGTAGAGTTAGAGTCTGGTTAGTGGGATGTCGGCTGACTGGTTGCATCAGGCAGCTCTTTTAAAAGAAAATGTTGAACAGATATTTAATCTAAAGTTAGACAGTTCCCTAAGTAATTCTGTTTTAAGGGAGCACCTTCTGTGTCCTTGAAAACCTCTACGTTACTGTGCCAAATAATAGGAAATACTCTTCCTTATTTTTGACTGTTCTGTGGTTTCCAATTTGGCTGAACATAAAAACTTTCTATCAGAGGTGTATTTTTCATGCTTGCCTCCTCAGGTGAATCACGCCTACAGTGATGAGCGTCACGTATTTCTTCAAGAATGCAAAAATTGTCTTTGATTAGTTAAAAAAAAAAGTAATATTTTCACCTTTTTGTGTAGCTCAGATTTAATTGAGGTGGATCATCTTTGTGGTCAGTATAGAAAATAACTGCCTTTTACTGAGAGCATTGATGTCGGCACATACTTTGTAATGATGAGATAAGTTTATCAGTGATGCTATAAAGCCAGTTATCCATTTCAAGTCTTTTTATACCAATCCGTTCAGTCAGAAGCAGAGTTAAACATGATAACCTCACAACAGAGGTAAAATATCCTGGTCAGTCAATGTTAAAATATCAAAGAAATTGAAAGAAAATATCTGTCAATTGGCAATGCATGGCACTATCTGGATTTTTTGTTTTTGTTTCCCTGCCCAGCCAACTCAGCAAAGCTGAATGGGAGAAGAAAAAGTTTGATAAGGCAATCGGGTAAGTCAAAAATCTTTTTAAAGCTGCTGCAAACACAACGGTTAACGATGATAGTGTATATTTGAGAGGCCAAAGGTGTTTCCTGGTCACTTTTTAAAGGTAATTTCAGTGTACATACTAATATGTATTGTCTTAACAACATCTTGATTTTGATCAAAGATTACAGGAAAACCAGTTTGAAATAAGAATTAGGAAAAATAGCCCCAAAATGCTGTAGCAAGGAGAAGCTTTCTCTCTGTGCTATGAATAGTGCAGTGATGAATATCTGTTTAATTCTTCTTAACACATAATGTGATCAAGTCTCACTTCTTATTGTCAGAGACAGGCGCTGATCTGCTTTCAGCAAAGTATAATAGGAAAGAAATAGTAGTGAGGTTTTTCTTCTTAGGCAGTGGATTTGGTATAGCTGCATTATTCATGAGTATGGAACTGGATGTTCCTTATGAGTGTATCTGAAAATCTGTAATACAGCATTTTAATGCCCATATTTCATTTTTCTGTGAAACTTGCCATTAGGCCTCATGTTGCAGTTAACTTCTGGATTTTTTTCGTCCTAAAATATTTCAAAGGTTTAAAAAACAAAAAAAAAGGAAAGTATTTCAGTTTGCTTGATATAGATAATTAAAAAAATACCTAGGATAATCTACAGAAGACAGCTGTGTTTGGAGGAGAAGAAAAAACCCACTGCATAACTAAACAAGTTTGCTTTTATCACTAAATTTCAGTGTGGGATATTATATGTTTTCTTGGGAAACAGGCTCTGCCAGACATGTCAAGTTCTTTATGCAACAGGCTCACAAATTAAGAAGTAACTTCAAATTTCCGAGGTCTGTTGTGTCTAAATATACTTCCCTTGCTGACATCTCTTATCAGTACAGAGTTTTGTTTCATGAGTCTGATTTTCTTATTTCTGTTTCCAGCATACTCTTAGTTTTTTGCTGTTTTCAGGTCTGTATTTCTAGTTCTCTGTTAGGAAGAAATCAGAGGTGACTCAGCTGGATCTTTTTCACAGGCTTTTTAGCCATATGAATGTCTTTATAGGACTGATTGTCAAAACCCGATGTTCCTAGCTGTGCGTAAAGAATTCCAGTTGGGCAGATGGGTTACAGTAGTAAATGACGGGTCACCCTGCAGACACAGCCACGATGTGGAGTGCTTGCCCCATGTCAGAGGCGAGCACAGGGATGCCCAGGCTTCTTGTTATTCCATATGAATGAATCTGTGCTGCTCCAGTGAAAATGCTGGCACACTGATGAAACTCCTGTTTTCACTGTGACCACATGTTTCACAAGGGAAACGCTGCCATTAGAGTGTACAAAGCAGGCAGGATAAATGCTTTTCTTGTTTCCTACACACACACTTTGGAAGCTCACAAAGGAGAGAATTAATACACCTCAGTAGCGCACAAAATCTGCAGTGTTGTCAGTGTTTCTTGCAGTGTGCTGAAAGAAGACAAACTCTCCACAAATGTTGCTGCTTTTTTTTCTTACAGCTACTCTTTTGCTATTGTGGGCATTAACATCACAGACCTCGCATACAACCTGCTTGTGAGTGGAGCTCTGAAGACCCATTTCTACAATGTTGCTCCAGAAGCACCAACACTAACTCACTTTCAGCAGACGTTCTGTAAGTGGTGGGGTGGGGGGTGGGAAATACATACTTTGTACTCCTGCTAATGCTTTCGTAATACCCATACTTTAAAAAAAAAATAAAAATCTGCTGACACAGCACAGGGACTGTCATACTAGTCTTGCTCACCTGTCTTTAGGATGCTTGGATTCAGTTCTTAGTTGTGATGGATGCCTCTAGCAAACCAAGGGGTAAAACAAAGAAAACAAAACAAAACCCCAAACAAAAAAACCACCAAGTGCCTGAACAAGTGACCTTCCTATCTTCTTAGATTGGTTTTAAATAATAAGAAGAAACTAAAAGTACTTCAAAGAGCTTCTATAGATTGCTTCCCCATAAATCCAACTGTCTTAAGATATTTACATCTACGTTCAAGTGTTACTCTCCACCCTTTAGTAGAGTTGTCCCCCCTCAAAATAATGCTTTCCCAGTCCTTTCCCCTGACCTGCTGTGCATCCTTGCACAGTGGGAACAACACTTCTAATATTTTTCAGTGTTTAGGCAAGAAACTGATAAGAAGAAGTCAAGATGTACTGTTTTCCACGTTTATGACAATTGCAAAGGTTTTGTTCATTGGCTTTTTGGGTTTTTTAAGATTGCTATTTAGGTAACATTTTTTTTGTTTGGCAGCTATAATATTTTCTTATTGCTTAACTGGGTAAATGGCAAATATTAGTGTCCTGTGCATCTCTTTCATTAAATAGTATAGGCTTTTCAGAACAAGGATGCTATTTAATAAGACCCAAAATCTTATGTGGGCAGCTATCATACTGTAGCAGGGCTCTCCCTTTTATGATGGTTTCTGGGTTGTTGCCCTAGATAGGCTGGCTGGTAGGAACTCTGGGCAGTTTAGTTGCTAGGCTTTTGGTTTTGGTGGTGGTTGGCTTGATAAATAAAAAAAGACAGATAAGTATCTACCTAAATATCCACTTATGCATCTTCAGGTCATCTTTTCATTGGAAGGGTTACTCTGTTTTTTCCCCAAATTTCTGACATGCCCATGGCCTTGTGAATGGATGTGTCTGGTATGATTGGTTTGGCTCCCATATCTCACGACCGCTAACCCTTGTTCTCATGGGGGACTTCAACTTACCAGACGTCTGCTGGAAATACGATACAGAGAGGAAACAGTCCAGGAGGTACCTGGAGTGTGTGGAAGATGATACCTTCCTGACACAGCTGGTGAGTGAGCCAACTAGGGCAGGTGCCCACTGGACCTGTTGTTTGTGAACAGAGAAGGACTTGTGGGTGATGTGACAGTTGGAGTCCGTCTTGGCCATAGAGACCATGAGTTTTCGATTCAGAAATCAGAGAGGTACAGAGGGGCGTCAGCAGAACTGCCACTTTGGACTTACGGAGGGCAGGCTTTGACCTGTTTAGCAGCCTGGTTGACAGAGTCCCTTGGGAGGAGTCCTGGAGGGCAAAGGAGTCCAGGAAGGCTGGACATTCTTCAAGAAGGAAATCTTAAAGGTGCAGGGGGAGGCTGTCCCTGTATGCTGAAACACAAGCCAGCAGAGAAGACGGGCCTGATTGAACAGAGAGCTTTGGCTGGACCTCAGGAAAAAAAGAATTTACGACCTTTGGAAGAAGGGGCAGGCAACTCAGGAGGACTACAAAGATGTCATGAGGTCATGTAAGGAGAAAATTAGAAGGTCCAAAGCCCAACTAGAACTTACTCTGGCTACTGCTGTAAAAGACAATAAAAAAATGTTTCTATAAATACATTACCAACAAAAGGAGGGCTAAGGAGAATCTCCATTCTTTACTGGATGCAGGAGGAAACATAGTGACACAGGATGAGGACAAGGCTGAGGTACTTAATGTCTTTGCCTCAGTCTTTAGCAGTAAGACCAGTTGTTCTCTGGGTACCCAGCCCCCTGAGCTGGAAGGCAGGGACTGGGAGAAGAATGAAGCCCCCACAGCCCAAGGGGAAACGGTTAGTGACCTGCTACACCACTTAGACACACACAAGTCTATGGGGCTGGATGGGATCCATCCACTGAGGGAGCTGGCGGAAGTGCTTACCAAGCTACTTTGGATCATTTATCAGCAGTCCTGGCTAACCGGGGAGGTCCCAGCTGACTCAAGGTTAGCCAGCGTGACACCCATTCACAAGAGGGGCTGGAAGAAGGATCCGGGGAACTACAGGCCTGACAGTGTGACCTCGGTGCCAGGAAAGGTTATGGAGTAGATCATCTTGAGTGACATCACGTGGCATGTACAGGATAACCAGGTGATCAGGCCCAGTCAACATGGGTTTATGAAAGGTAGGTCCTGCTTGACTAACCTGATCTTCTTCTATGACAAGGTGACCCACTTAGTGGATGAGGGAGAGGCTGTGGATGTTGTCTACCTGGACTTTAGTAAAGCCTTTGACACCATTTCCCACAGCATTCTCCTGGAGAAACTGGCTGCTCATGGCTTGGGCAGGCGTACACTTTGCTGAGTAAAAAACTGGCTGGATATCTGGGCCCAAAGAGTTGTGGTGAATGGAGTTACATCCAGTTGGTGGCCTGTCGCAAGTGGTGTTCCTCAGGGCTCAGTGTTGGGGCCAGTTCTCTTTATCAATGATCTGGACGAGGAGATCGAGTGCACCCTCAGTAAGTTTGCAGATGACACCAAGGTGGGTGGGAGCATCGATCTGCTTAAGGGTAGGAAGGCTCTACAGA